GCATGCTGAACAAGCTTGTGAAGTTTCTATGAGGTTATGATGTCAAACAATATGTTATGACATTGGGTTGATGAATATTATTGTTGGTGTGTTGTTATAGATATGTGAAGCTAGTTGTTTGAAGAATGTGCTTACATCTTTCCTAGGAGAAGTCTGAAGGTCAGTCTTGATTATGTCTGGAAGAATTTATTTTTCTCTACAGATTTTGGAAGGACTTTATGAGAGTTTTTGGCTGATGAGAGTTGTCACATGTGATATTGTGATATTTTGATTTGTGTTGGCCAAAAGGATTATATGTAAAGGCCATTTGAAGGTTTTATGTTTGTGCCTCAGAACATGTGAAAAGTTCTATGAAACATCACGTCTGAAAATGTGTTCTTAGTTTGAGGGGGAGTGTACACCAAATAACTTCATGACCTTCTTCTTTTATCCTAATGTTGTTGTTCTGTGGTGTTGAGTTTGATGGACTGTAATGGATTTATTCAGGCTGCTGTGAAGTAATGTTGGATGTGTTGTCCCGACAACAATCAGATTTTGGATGTTACCTCTTGTTAAAGCCTTTGTCATATTATGGCTAAAAGGGGGAAAGAATATGTGTTGGACTGTCATGAAGAAGTCCTATTGTTGATGTTGTGACATCATGTGAGAAGACAGTAAAGACTGCAGACTGTCAAATGTGAAGACTAAAGACTGACTGCTTCTGATGTTTTTAGTTGATGGTTACTATTGAATGTTTTGCATTGTTTAACCTTTTATTTATTATGGTATTGCTTCTGTATGCAAATTTTATGTAAAGATCATGTAAATTAGTTTTAGCCAAAATAGGACAAAGGGGGGAGATTGTTAATTCTCTGAATTATGTGATTGATATTATGTTTGGTAAAACTAATATAGCAGCAATATGTTAGATATGATGTATTAACTTGCTAAGAAGAACAGGTTGATCAAGAAGTCCTAGCTTATGAATAAACATGTTAAGTTGAAATGGTTCAACATTTGGAGAAACATGTTGAATAAGATGTCATATGCAAGGTCATTTGATATCGCGTCTGAGATGAACTGACTGGTATATTCTGTTAAGTCACAAAAACAAAAAATATATTTTTAGGATATTATATTATCCTATGTGGTGATGTTTTATAGGTCAAGAAGAATCAAGAAGAATATTGAAGAATATGTAGTTTCTAAATATGGAGATTATTTAGAACACTAATGATTGAAGACCTTGTTTGTAGCAGAAGTTTCTGCTGATTTGTAACAGCTGATGAGTTGTGTTTGAAGGACCAAATCCAGTTGGGAATAGGTTATAAATAGAAGCTTGTAACCTAGGATTTGTACTAGACATGAATTCAAAGATGTAAGTTATTAGGGATGAGTCTGTATCACTCTCTAGGAGAGTTGGTTATGTGTTCCACTCGGTTATGAGTTGGACTGATATTATAGAGTTGTAGTCTCTATTATTGTTCTACTCGAAGCTTTTAAGGAAGAGGTAGTATTGTTCTTGGAGGAAGCTGCTAAGAAAATCTAAGTATTGTTCTTGATCAAAGCTGTGAAGCAAGATCAAGTATGCCATTCTTAATCAAGGGGTGTCTTGATTAAGGTGTTTGGTTGTATTTGAAGTGTGATCTTCATTTAGGTGAAAGACTGTCGATACAATAACTGGGACTGGGACAGTTAGACATTGTTGCGGTGATTAAAAGTGAGTGGGTATACTCATATCTAGAAGTTCCTAGGTAGAAGTTGCATTGGATAGGGATTAAGTTATAAGTTGTAAACGGAGGAGTTTAGCTTTGAATTAGTACTACTGATAGTGGATTTCCTTCCTGGCTTGATAGACCCCAGAGTAGGTGTTGTTGTCACCGAACTAGGTTAACATTTCCTGTGTTTTTTTATTTCTTTTCAGTACTGTTTTGATTGTTTATACCTTGTCTGTTTGTTTTGTTCAGATCAGATGTCCCAACATGCCATAGAACATTCGAGTTCTGTTATACCAGAATTTCACTATTTTTCTTGGTGAGTTTTGAGCAACCCATCTTTATGTGTCATTGTTTCCCACGTTCATAGCAAGTGACATTTTGTGTTGATGTGAAAGCTTCTATCTTATTAAAAAATTTCGTCTTTTTCACAAAGTTAGAGTGATCATTATTACCAAAAAATTTACCTAACCTTTTTTACAAGAAGCATGAAGTTCATCTTCTTCCAGAGTTTCTTCATTTTCTACTTCTTTTGGATCAACCTTTAAAGTGATACTTATCGATTTATTATCTTGAGTCTCATGTTTTTCTAGTCTTCCAAGTTCAATCTCATGCTTTTGAAGTTTTCCAAACAATGTTGTAGAAGTCATAGTGGATAGACTCTTCTTTTTGGATATTACTGTTACTTTCGGTTGCCATTTCCTGGTCAAAGATCTAAGCACTTTAAGATTAAGTTCATCATTAGTAAAAGTCTTACCAAGTTCTATGAAGTGATTTTTCAAATACACAAAAAAAATTTGCAAGTCAAGGATTGATTCTCCGGATTGCATTCTGAATAACGCACACTCTTGACTCGAGGTATTTAATCTTGATATTTTTACTCCAATGGTTCCTTCATGAGTTTATACTAATGTATCCCATATTTCTTTTACTGTAGTGCATTGTGAAATACGAAAGAACTCATCCATGCTAAGAGAAATTTGAAGAAAATTGATTGCTTTCTTGTCGTTTAGGACCTTTTTCTTATCATCTTCATCCCATGAACTTTCGATTTTGAGTGTGCCTACACCATTTATAACACTCGTAGGAACGAATGGGCTATTTACTACAGCTTTCCATATTTCTTCTCCTTGTTCCTCTAGATGTGCCTTCATACGGATTTTTCAAAAGTCATAGTATTCACCATAAAATAATGGAGACTTGTTATTGCTATCACCGTTTCTAAAAACCATATTTGCATAAGCCATTGTTGATCTTTAGGAACACCTTATCTATAACCTTCTCTAATGTCAATTGTAAGTACAGAGTGCACCTAAGAGGGGGTGAAATAGGTGCTTAAAGTTTTTCGATTTTAGTGAAATGTTACTTTAATTTTTTGGTTGGATGGTGTTTATGAAAGCAGTAGAATGCGGAAAAGTAAAGAACACAAAGAGATTATATTGGTTCCTCTCAAAATTCGAGAGTACGTTTAGTCCTCTTACAACATGTATGAGATTTCACTATTTGTTAGAACCTTGTACAAGCCAAATTCTAACATCTATACACAAGTTGCTAACTCAATCAACAAGGCAAACTACCTTAAGATTTTACAAATTAGAAAAATAAAATAATCCTCTCTTTTTCACTCTCTTGTTTCCAAGAATCCTGGACAACAAGGTATATACATAAATCTGAGCTTTATAAGAAGTTTGAAGTTGTAAGACTTTTATCAATTGCTAGAATTGATCTTCTCTTCCAAGTAAATAATTCACAAGTATGATGCACAAGTACTCATAAATGAATTGATGAAACCTTTTAAAGATGCAATGAAAATGAATGCAGAAAGTTTCACAAAACTTAAGACTCAAGGTACTTGGTTAAATTTGAAAGTTTGAGTTTAAATTATAATGAAAGAGGTGAGGAATGAAAATCTGATATCACGTGTATTTATAGTAGTATAATACCTTTTAGAAGAATCATGATATTATGAAACAATGCCATGATTGATAGATGTATCTTAAAATTCGTTGGATTAGATTTTATGCCAAAAAGTGTCACTGCTTCAGTGGTAACCGGTTAACACATAATCATAACCGGTTACAACTGAAGCGTATTATAAAAATTCAAAATTTACAAAAGTGTAACCAGTTATAGGGTTTGGTTAAGCGGTTAGACCTGATGCATTTTTGAAAAATAGTTGAAATTTCGTTTGCGTAACCGATTAACAATAAAGCGTAATCGGTTACACCTTATGCAAAACTAAAAAAAAATACCTTAAGAATAATTGAAATGCAAAAACACTTTATAACCAAAAGTTATTTTATGCATCAAGATGAAATTTTAATGATGTTTCTGAGCACTATGGTAAAATCCATGAATAAATTACAACTTAGTATCTCAATAAAGTGATCAATATTCTAAGGCCCAAAGTTATCTTGACAGTGTTGCTTGTGACACAGTTCTTGTTACCATAGAGCTTTGAACATGGAGTTTTTTCTCATCCTTTGATAATGCACATGGTCTTGAGAGATTAAACTTGTCTTCATCAAAATACAATATTGGAGAAGCTTGTCTTCACAATTTGTTTGTTTGATCCTAAAGAAACAAGAACAACGCGAATTTCAATGGTAAAAACATTGGCAACAATTTTTTATGGTTAAGAAAAATTGAATTTTCGGTTGCCGGCATTTTAAATGACTTCTCTTGAACTTAATTGGCTTGTGAGAGACATAGCAGAAGTATCAATAATTTCAGTTGAAAACATCTTTAAAAAATTGTTTTTTTTTTCAATTTAAAAGTTGGTATTGAAAATATGTCGTAGAATAAATTATTGGGTCGATGGTGGACTAAGTCACTCTTTTTAGGACGTTTTGCAACATTGTTCAAATTGTGTTAGTCAAACGATCAACCACGACGTATGTAAGATAAAAATATATTATTCAAACTGTTATGATTACCATAGAAATACATATTATATGGGACAAAGACTACTCGAATATATTATGAATATCAATTATATATGGCACATATCGACGAAACAAAAAACAAAAAACAAAATATAGAAGAAGCAGAGTTAAAAGAAAGTAGATATTCAGTTAATTTGGAAACCTGAAGTGAACATAATGAGGTATGAAGAGCTTTATAGTTGAAATTTAAACTGGAAGAGAGAAAAAGAATGAGCGGGTTTTAACACCTTTTCCACGATGAAATGAGTCCGTTTCAAAAATTATGATTAATAGGAAGTACAAGGAATCAATAGATAAAAATTAAAAAGAATGAAAAAGAACTACTTCTCGTGATGTAATCAATAGATAAAAATGAAAAAGAATGACTTTTATGAATTTGATTAGAGTACAAGGAATCATCACAGAGACAGCAGAAAGAGAAATGATACATTTAATACAGAAAAAAATAGAAACTATAATTCATGAGGAAGAAGATTCACTTACAATAAAATACACCCTTCTTTCAAGTCAGTTACGAATTCCCATTTTAAAGTCTTCATGGCATATGAATTTTATCTCTCCCCAATAACCAGGGAATACACATATGCTAACAAATTATGAATATAAATTTTTGAATCAACAATTAGAAGTTTGCACTTTATCCTCTAACTACTAACTAATGTGGCATTCCTCACTTCAGATGAAACAAACTTGACAACAATCCCATACCCATCAGTTTCCCCTATTCAGCTCCCAATGTAACTAACTAAATTTGGGGCCACATTATCCTGAATTGCAACATTTCATATTCCAGATACAGTTTCCCTAATACCCTTGTTCGATACTTATTTGGAAAACCTGATATACTAGTGTCCATTTTTTCTTTTTTGTAGAGGAACATGAGAAGAAACAACTAGAACTAGAAGAAGCCAAATCCTATTAAATTCAATATAACAGGCATGAGCATGAACAAACCTGGAGGACGATAATGCCACTATGTCCAACACCACTCACAACAAGGATTATTGCTAGTAAATGGTAGTCCTATATAAAAGTAATATGAATAAAACAAAACAAAAACAAAAACAATTCATAATGTCTAGTGTAACTGTAACATCTAGAAGAGTTCAATTCTGCTGTTTAGTATAAAGAACTAGGTTTTGATTGAGTCATTTTCTTTAACTGTAGCGGCGGCGGCGGCGGTGGCGGTGGCAGCTTCTTCTTCCTGACGCTTCTTTTTCCAGTACTCATCAAGTGGAGGTCCAAATATTGATTTACCAGAAACAACGCCAATACTGCGTACCCCAAACAAAATCATGATCGTGCTAATTGAAAATTCAAGTTTGGGAAAGAAATGAATCAAACTTACATGACGGCACCGATAACTAGTGGGAAGGAAAGAAACTTTCTTCGCCCGAATCCCAACATTTTGAGATATAATTCCAATTCCGGTGTTTCACCTAACAGATGCTACGGCAGTTCTCTCTCAAGGTAGATGAGACTCAATCAGCCGAAAACCCGACCACAATTCTTGGATACCGGGGGCCCGTATAAACGTTAGCTCCCAAGCCCCTTCATCCAATAACTCATAACCTAAATTATACTACTAACCCTCCAATTAAACTTCTATCTCCCAAAGGTTTTCAACTTCTCAAAACACCCTTAATTTTATTTAACTAATAAAAATATTTTTTTTCTTATAAAACATTTTTTAACCTCAAAAATAAAAATATTCATATCGGAAAAGAATAAAATTATCTTGACATATTTTTTCAGCTATTTTTGTAACAAAATGATTTTTTTTTTGTATGGAAATATAATTGAATTCTTACTATCCATTCACTCTCTTTATACTCGCCCAACTTTTTGTTGTTGCATACTACGTAAGAGTAAATTCGACAAAATGGGTTCGGCCTATTAAAGTGATTCATAAATTTAATAATTTAGTGTGAGTTGGGTCGCAAAATATCTTTAAAAAACATGATCCTATTTTTTTTGGCCCAACCTATCAGGTCTATGTTTTTCATAGTTCGGGTTGGGTCGGGCCAAGCAGGCTTCGGGCTGCCCCATTAAAAATTTTGGTAAATTTTGGGGAAAAAGATTGAGATAAGATATGATAGCATAAGTGTCTTGTGATCAAGGAAATAATTGTGAGATGAAGAGAAAATTTGATAAGTGTTTTGGTCTAGACCAATGACTAAGCGTATGGCCCAATCCACTTCTGCTATTAGGATGGTCTAATAACTTTGGCCCAATCAGTTTGGACAGACAAATGACACTTTTCCCTTCTATCCCTCAGCAGGGACCCATGGTCGGTTGCCCCTGCAGAACCAATGAGACCACAGGTGACCTTAAACCGTACCTCTTCCCGCGCCAACGACTAGTTTTCACTCTGCACGTCACACGCGAAGTAACCATCCAGGAACGACTACAACGAGGTTGCTCGCAACTACTCCCCAGCTCAAAGCAACGACTAGTTTCGAGCAGATCTGCCAATCATAACGGTTAGTTCCTGGAAGTTACCTATTTTTGGGGACCTGATATTCAGGCCTAAATATAGGAACCAATGGCCAAGCGTCGGGGGCATTATATAAACCCTCACACTTATGAGGGTCAGGTATTCAATATTCACTATAAAATCCTAAACTCTTTCTTGTATCTCTTTGCACTCTTACTTACTTGAGCATCATAGTGCGTAGCACGTACACCCCCTCCTCATTGATTTCAGCCTTGCAGATGTCATTTATCGGCACATTACATGTTCTGTTCATCGGTAAGATCAGTGGCGTCGTCTTTGGGAAATTGTTTTCCCCATCTTTCTTTCCCCAAAAACTAAATATCAAAACGATATTCAAGATTCAAATCATGGCCGATCAGGATGACAACTATATCGCTGGCAAAACTGTCATCTCCCTTGTCCAATAGAAAGACAGTGACGATAATAAGGTCCAAGAAGATGCACCAACTGTATTCCAATCTGTTCAGATACCACCCAACGCTGACCCAACCATGGCAGCGTTTCTTACATCATTAAATCAGACAAACACTCTGATCTTGCAACAGAACAACAAGATCGGGGCCTTAGAGAAAAACCGCCGCTCAAGATCTTCCCCGAGGATATACAGACGACGTGGGTCTTGCAGCCCATCACCAATATGACCAAGTCGTCACCCTCCACCAAAAAAACCAGAAGCCTAACTAATCAAGAAGTGCGAGCATACTCCTCCTCGAAGAGACCAGCGCTCCCCGACCACCAAGAAGACAAAGGAAAATCAAAGGGCACATAAATATTGTTTACCCTCTCCCAGGCTGAAACATCATTCGAGGAGCACGTCTCCCCGTCGAGAAAACAGTCTCCGATGAGGGAGGAACCATTACTCTCCTCCACCGTCACCAGACCGAAGCGAAGACGATGAGTCCATGGTTCATTGTTAAGAGAGATTATATAGACTCCCATATCTATCGGGCTGGAGAAAACCCCAAATCTGGGGATGTACGGTGGAACCGCTGACCTAGACTAGCACATCGAGAATATCGATGCCCTGCTCAATTACAGGTGTGTTTGGGGAGCCATCAAGTGCAGACTCTTTCCCACCATTCTACGGAATGGGGCTATGGCTTGGTACAAAAGCCTCTCCGACGAGTCGATCACGTCTTGGAAGAACCTTTGAAAGCAGTTCTCTAGGAAGTTTATTGCTTCCCACCAACATCTGAAATCTGAAGCATCGCTGGAGGCGATTATCCAAGGGAAAGACGAATTCCTCCTGGCATATATTGAGAGGTTCAACTGCAAGGCTGTTCAGGTCTCCACACTGACGAGATGACGAAATATTTGGTGGAGCGCAGGCTATGTCCTCGCAGGGATTTTGCCAAGGAAGTTGGCATAAAGACACCTGATACACTAGATTCCCTCCTTCTCAAGGCTCATGCATACATCCAGTGTGAAGAAAAATAGGCTGCCAACAACGTAAGGGATTCTCGACATCAAGAGAATGCCAAACTCTTAAAGCATAATGACCCCTCAATATCTCATCGGGTAGTTGATAAAAGAAGAAACGATAAGCCTCGGGAATCGCAGGAATATAAAGGCCCAGCTGATCGGTTCTACGATTACACTCCCCTGAACGCCTCACGCGAGCGCTTCCTATCTGACTGTGCAAATTCAGAGTTTCATCAGGCCGGGGTTCACTTTCCCCGACAGACACCGTCCAAGCCCGGGACGAACAAAACAAAACTATGCTGGTTCCACAAGAGCCACGAGCATAGCACTGAAGACTGTATCAATCTAAAGGATGTCATGGGATCCTCATCAGAGGTGGGCATCTCAAGCAATACAAGAAAAAGGAGGGTCCTTGCAAGGACGCGCCTGAGTCAAAGAAGGTCGAGGAAGAGAAACCATCTTTCGACGACGTCAACATGCCGGTCGCCATGAGTGTTTCTTGACCAGAGGATTTCTACATCCTCGACGATGTCGAGCACCCTCACTACTTCTCAATGCACAGTCCCTAGGAGACTTTCCCCTCCGTTATGGTCATATCTGGCGGGGGATTTAACAAAGTCACTATTGGATCAGTAAAAAGAAAGTTCAAGCAGTTGATCAATGCAAGCTCCAACAAGATCTCCTAACTCAACCATCCCTCTGCTCGTGAGAGCACATATGTTAAACTTTGATGTCCGAAGGATTCTGGTTGACCAAGGCAGCTCGGTCGATATTATGTACTCCCAACTGTTTTCCACCTTGCATCTCGACGAGACACACTTGACTCTCTATGTAGGCTCATACTTACAAGATTTAAACGGCGCGATCACCAAACCTGGGGCTACATCGAATTGATAGTCACCTTCAGGGAAGCAGAGATGGACAGAGCCATCAAGGTCTAATTCTTGGTGATCGTCTACTCGTCTCTATATCAGTGAATTTTAGGGAGGCCAACCCTAGCCGAACTAATAGCGGTGCCCTCCACCGTGCATTTGAAGATGAAGTACTACACTTTGAAAGGTTTTGTCACTAACCTCCACGGGGATATAGAAGTTGTGAGGAGATGCTTTGAGGCAACCTAGAAAGAGCTAAACTTCATCAAAGTAATACCCAGAAAAACCAGTAATTTTTCCCGACCCAGCAGCTCAGAGGAGCCAAAGCCGCTGCCACACGTTGACACGGTCGACTTAGACAGCTGTTTCATGAATGATGATCTCCAAGATAAGAAGAAGAAGGGGAAATAAGCCTGCTTAACTATAGAAAACTCCTCGAAATGAACAAGCAATGAGGAACCTGCACATCCCATGCAACCAATTCCAGACGGGGAATTCGAGATTATCCCCCTCGATATCGACCCCAACAAAGGAGTGAAGATCGAGATCATTCTCCCTGGCCTGGATAGGAAAAAACTAAAGGCATGCTTGAGGGAGAATGCTAATTTGTTAGCTTGGAGCACCGCAGAGATGCCCGGTCTGGATACAGAGATAGCATGTTACCAGCTGACAATAGATCTCACCCTTAAGACAGTTTCCCAACATGGGAGAAAGCAGTCTCTAGAAAAAACGGAGGCTGCCAAGCAAGCTGTAAAAGATCTCATGCAGGAAAAATTCATTTGTGAATCCCAGTACACAACCTGACTATCTAACATTGTACTTAAAGAAATCTAATGGAAAATGGAAAATGTATGTTGATTATACCAATCTTAATAGGGCTTACCCCAAATATGCTTATCCCTTGCCCAACATAGATAGATTAGTTGATAATTTTGCTAGCTTTAAACAATTACTTTATGGATGTATATTCTGGATACAACCATATCCCCATGGAAAAAAGAGATAAAAAATATACGACTTTCATGACCGAATCGAGAAACTATTACTACAACATAATGTCATTCGGCTTGAAAAACACTGACGCCATATGCCAGAGGATGATGAACAAAGTCTTCAGAGCATAGATTGGAGACATGCTCGAGGTCTATATGAACGACGTGATCGTGAAGTACCAAGAGGAGTCTGACCATAGGTTCCACCTGAAAAGGTTGTTCGACCAGGCAAGGAAGTGCAAAATGTGATTCAACCTAGAGAAATACACCTTCAGCGTGCGGGCATGAAAATTCCTCGACTTCTACCTGACAGAGCAAGGAATTGAAGCTAATCCCGACAAGTGAAGGACATTTTACGAGTTTCCAACACCAAATTAAAAAAATTCAATCCAATATCTGAATGGGATGCTCACCTTGTTATCTCGCTTCGTGGTAAAATTTGCCCAACACACACTTCCCCTTTTCAAACTTCTTCGAAAAGAATCAACATTTGAGTGGACTGAGAAGTGAGAGCAAGCCTTCTTCCACCTCAAACAAGCACTCTCTCAGCCACTAGTCCTTTTGGGACTAGATAAGGGAGAAATTCTCTACCTTTATGTTGTTGTTGCAGCCGGGGCTGTCAAC